CATGTGTGTCAAGGACAGAAAGGCAGATGTGGCAGTGGAAGGTGTCAAAGCAGTTTGGAGAGAAAAACAAAGTAAAGAACAAACAAATAAAAATAAAACGATTAATCGATTATTAAATTAGTCAACGATTATTTTAATAATCGATTAGTCATCGATTAATCGTGGCAGCCCCACTTCCACTTCATGATCTGGATTCAAACGTTTTAATGCCAGGAAATCTGATTGCTGTTGCCGCATACTGAACCATAACAGAAACATTCCAGTTGTATCTAAAAATAGCATCTGTAAACTGAAACAGCTTAAATGTGGAATGAAGAAGTAAAAAAAGAATGACGGGAAACATGTTCTTGTAACAAATGTGCTCTTAAGCTTTGTCCACCAGACAGGCATAGATTAAATAAATAAAACCCGGTACACATGGATAAATAAGACGAGAACAGCCGGTAGTCTGAAATGGTCATGTATTTTTTTTTGCAACCTCACCCTCAAACAATCAGCTGACGTTGCACCTGTGTGTCCTCTGCAGCCCGCACCCTGAAGTTCGGCCGCCAGGCTGGAGGCGACGACGACTACGACGACGACGACTACAGTGGAGCGTCAGGGTACGACGCCTACTGGAAGAATTTGGCAGCCGGTGGCGGAGGAGGTGCACAAGAAAACTATGATGAAGATGATGATGATGACTATGAGGAAGATGATGATGATGAAGATGACGATGAGGAGGAAGAGGAGGAGGAAGAAGAAGAAGAAGAAGAAACACCCTCCGGGTCCCTGGCTGGGCTGAAGTTGGACGGCGCTGCCTGAATTAAAATGCAACAAGCTGCTGTTGGAGTCCTCCACAGTTCTGTTGATCCCAGTGATCCTCAGCTGCAAAACATGAAAAAAAAAAAAAACTAAAAGCTCTCCAGAGAATCCACAACATAGTTTCAATGGCTGTTGATATCCAGTAACTTTAGAGGATTAGGGTACAAATTCTCAGTGACTGAATAAAAAAGGTAAACAAGTTGAGTCTAACTCTTGTGTTGTTTTATGTTTTGGACCCGCTTTTGTTAGTAGCTGTCCACGCACTAAATTCAGGGTTGATTTCTATGGATGAACTTTAATTTCCTCTGAGAGAACGTGTCAGCCCACCCTCCTGCTGTAACAGATTTACAGGGTGGGCTTGACAACTCTGACACTGTTTAAGCCACGCTTCTTAGCCAGCTAGGAGTTATTACTCAGCAGGAGCGGAGTGGTGTGCTCAGTCCTTGGGAATAGTTAAATAAATTAGAAAAATGGAGGAAAAGGGGCATTTCTTTTTTTGAAACGGATTAACACATTTGTCTGGTGATGTTGGTCTTGTGTTATAAGTACCAATCTAAATCTCAATTATTACTATTTGATCATTTTTTTATTATTATTATTATTGTTATTATTATTATTATTATTAT